GGGCGTCTTGCGTCTGCGGGGGGCTCTGCCTTCCGAACCCGCTCGGAACGTAGGCCGGGTAGCAGAGAGCCTGGCCGCGGACCAAACTGGGAAAGGAGAGCGTGTGACGCGAGACCCCACCCTCGCGGCGGGCCCCGGGCGGCGTTGCGCTGGAGCGTGTAGAGCGGGACTCCGCCCCCCGGGTGAGCGTAGGAGGCGGGGCTAGCCCGGGTTGGGTGGGTGCAGGGCTCTGTCGGACCGGCGGCGGGGCGCAGGGACTCCCCTTTAGTCCGGGAGGATGTGGGGCTCCTACCCAAGTGGGTTCTGGAGGCCCGGCGGTGGCCGAGGATTGGCGGTAGAGGACGGCTGTGGAAGTAGGGCGGAGAGAGACCGAAACTGAGCAGACGGTGGAGAAGAAGCCAAGCACCCTTGGAACATTTCTCTTTAAGACAGATGGTTATAGATAAAAGTTGACAAATTGCTAATAGGAAAAGTGTGGGTGGTTCGGGCAAAGGCAAGCCTTTGAGTTGATTTTGCTGGGCTTCCTAAACCTAGTGAGGTTATTGTGAAAAGGGAAAAAAGGCTGTCAAGAAATTCTCATGAAATTTTTAAAGGGTGGGATCTTTTACTTTATATAACTTGAATATTATTATTTGAATTTTTACCATCAGCAAATTTTGCCTTACAAGTACTTTTATTCTATATTAAAGTTTTATTTCAAAGAATTAAAAAGATAAAATAATAGAGTAATTAAAAAGAAGCATCTCCCATTGTTGTTCATTCTCCGAAGAGGGTGGGGAGCTGCTGGCATGAGAGAGCAGGCACCTTGGACCCCAGCTGAGCGGTCTGTGGGGAAGACTTGGCGGCACAGAGAGACAGGCCCAGTCCCTTCTCCAGAGGTTGCCTGCCAGTTGAGAGGGAACAGTACAGGTGGCCTACTGAAGGGGCTAGAGCAGGAAGTGAGCAGAGGAAGGCTGGGAAGGCCTGGGGTACAGGGGGTCTTCAGCACAGAGATACTTTAGCGAGAGACCGGATGAAGTTCGTGGGCATGGAGCTTACAGGAGGGATTCCCTGAGAGCTTCTGGTCTCCCTGTTTCTATATCTGGCCTCTTCTGGAGACCCACATCCCCACCACAGGATGTCCCCTGCTGTAGGATCAGGCACACCAGAACAGTAGCTTCTGTAGACTCTGGCTGAGCTGGGAAGCCAGAGCCACAATCCTTGCCTCTCTTCTTGGAATGAATGCCTGGCACCTAAGAGGTATCTGCTTAGGCCAAAGGGCATTCGAATTGAGAAACCCAATGGTTCACAGCCTGACTCTGTCATTTGTAATAATAGCTGCTGGGCGTTGAGCACATACTCTGTGCAAGACGCTGTTCTAAGTTCTTTACATAGATTGCCTCATTATTAGCTGTAGGAAGACAAACACAATATCTCGGAATCTATCCATGTACTAAGTGGGATATCTATTTCATGGTGCTTTATGGAAATATAAGAAAGCAGGGCTTCTCAAACTTGAGTATGCATATGAACTGCCTGGGAATCTTGTTTAAGTGCAGATTCTCACTTTGGTTTGTAGCAGGACCCAAGATTTTACCTTTCCAACAAGCTGCCAGGTGATGCTACTGCTGCTTCTGGTTCAGGGACCACACTTGGAGCAGCAAGGACTCACAGTGCTTGGCAGTTGGTAGGCACTCAATAAACATTTTTGAATGAATGATTACATGAAATATCAGATACAAAACACTCATAATGCTGTGCAAGTGTATGTAATCATTCTAAGACAATAAAACCAGCGAATCTGCCAGAAAAAGGGCAAACTCCTAGAAGAGTAACTATCAAATAGCACCTGAGAACACTATTTCTGTATCAGACTACAAAATCCCACCACCCAGCAAGCAGAGCTTGGGCATGTAATTCAATCTTTTTGTACCTCAGTTTTGTCATTTGTAAAATGAAGTGAAATGCTTACCTCGCTGGGCTACTGTGGGATTTATTGAGATGATTCACATCAGTCTCTTAGCACTGGACCTGACATAGACTAACAGCTCAATACATTTCAGTTATTAATATTATTTGCCTCCTGGGTTCGGGGCAGCCCCAAAGCCCACAAAAGCCTGGACCACAGCACTATGGGGTCAGCAGGCAGCTTTCTAGGAGCCATGGAGCCAATGCCTCTCTATTCTTTTGATTTCTCCAAAAGGGTTAACGTTATAATGCACATGAAAATCGATTAAAATGCAGCATCCTGCAAGACAACGAGAAAGGAAATGAAGGAGAAAAGCAGTAGGATCAGGTAAAGAATCAAATTGCCAAGGAAACAGTTTGGGGATTCTGAGCCACATCAAGGGGGATTCATATGTCTCTAGAGGCACCTGGGGAGCACAAGGGCTGAGAGCGAGGCTCCTGGGTCTATTCCAGTTGCTCCTGTTTTGGACAGTAAGCCCTATTTCCCAATGGTGCTAGGTCCTTCTTTAATCATGTCTAAATTGGGAGAATTGGAGAATTTGGAACCAAGGATCCTCCCCAATTTTTAGAAAGACCTTGAAAGACTTCACCTTGAAGTGGGACGTAAAACCCAGGCTGTGTGGGGCTCCCAGCTTTGACATGTCCACACTTTAGGAGAGGCAGGGGTAGAGGCAGGCGTGGTTTGAATCCTGATTCTGCATCTACTAGTTCTGTGACCTTCAGGGAGTTACTTAAAATTTATGAGCCAGTATCTTCTTTGTGTGCAAACCATGGTGACGATGTATACATGTTTTATGTGTATGTATCAAACTACTAACAGCATCTGATGTGCAGTAGTTCTCAATAAGCAGTATTTAGCAGAATTTCTGGATTGATCTCAGATTGCTTGAAAGGCTGTTACGCTCTGAAGGGCACAGAGCAAGTATAATAAAAGAAAGCAGGCGCCCCCACGTGGTAAGTGAATTAACTGCAAGGACTGTACCTTTATTTCAATCCCAGAGCCTCCCTCAGGAGGGTAGGCACTCAGTAAGTGCTGCTCTCCCTGTCAGGCCTGTGGCCTTGGGCAAGTTTCCTGGATGATGGTGAGACAAGAGGACTTGGGCCAGATGATATCTGACACCCCTCATGATCTGTAAATGAGTCAGGCATGATCTCCCAATCCAGGCATCCTTTTTCCTAGTGGGGTTCAGCTTTCTTTTCATTCCATTCGACTCTCCCAGGCTAGTTACTGGACACCTTAGCAATGCTAACTTCCCCAAATCCTTAGCAGATTGTATCCTGTAACCTCACTGTATTCCCATCAACCCCAGAGCCCTTACCCTCCTGTAAGGAAGGGGCTACCAGGAATTCTTCAGCCCTCCTGGTGTGAACAGCTAGATTTTAGGCTGCAGGACCTCCCAGGAGCGACTTAACAGCCACCTTGGGACTGTTTGATTGCCTGACTTTATAGCTAAACGGGATAGTTTACTCTGGGCCCAACTTGCCCACCAACTGCCAGGACGCCCTAGATGGCGCTGACCTGGTCAGTTTGACCAACAAAGCCCTGCAGCACTGGACCAAACCAGAGCCTGAGAGCAGGAGTTCTTAACCTGGGGTATGTGGAGAAGCTTCCAGAGTTTCACTGGTATGCAAAATCTCAGGCTATATGTACCTTTCCAGGAAAGTCAGCATGGCTTTTGATACATTTTCAGAGAGCTCTGTGACCCCAAAAGTTGAAAAACCACTGCCCCACATTGCAGAAATGACTTACTTCAAGCATTCTCTATATGGGGGGCTCCTGCAAGAAGCCTTGGTGGTGTGTTCCAGTTCTATAACCCACAGTCCCTCTCAACACAGCTGGGCAGCGAAGGAGGATACCAAGGTTATTCAATGGGTTTAGGAAAATACACCAGAACTAAAGCATAACATGCTGTGTGGCAGCCACAGGAGACTTAAAAATGTTTTGCATCATCCCTGCTTCCTTCGCTGGTATTAGCTTTTAGAGCCAAGACACCATCCTTCACCGATGGCAAATTTCTATACTTAGAAGGGGCATTTAGAATTAAGACTGGCAATAACAAATGAGTCAAGTGATAGCATTCTGTTTGGGGCCCCAAATTAAGTGTGGCTAAGAAGCAATAAGCCCAGTTCTCTTAGGCTCATGAGCAGGTTCTGGATAGCATTCACACGGAGTTCCAATCTGTTTTTGGCAATGGCTGCAACATTGGAATAATTTCCTAGATGGCTACTTATTTAAGAAACAATGCTCCTTTGGATGTATAGCTTCTGAAACATTTTTAAACCTCATTACTCCCGTCATAACAAAGCTACTGTTCGCTACTTGGAGAACATCAATCTGGAGCCTCCAAGGAGCACTTTCCAAGTGCGTAAGACCTGGAGAGGTGGGAGCCACTTCCATCCAACTCATTTCAGAGCTGCTGGTCCCAAGTCCGGGATGCAAGACCTAATTCAGTGTGACTCAAATCAAAGGAGGAATGATAAATCTAATTATTTTACATCTTTAATTAGAATTCATTTCATTTGAGCAAATCCATTTTAGAGAAGAGGCAGCCCAAGAGACTACAGGGTCATTCTAAGAGGAGTCTACTAGTATTGTCTGCTAGTATTGAGCTTCTGGCTTACCTCCTTGCAATCAGATTCACTGATTAGGAATTTGGAACTGCCCATTAATTAGTTAAAACACCTCTTATAAACCCAGTGGGGGGGTCACATATTTGTTTTTCAGGGGAAGCCAGGGCCACCACAGCTGTAGGACAGGAGGCAATCACCAGAGAGCAGGGAGGGGATGGAGTGTGTGTGTAAGGGAGGTACGGGGGCTCGTATTTATCACCCTTCCCTCGGGAGGAGAACCTCTTCATGTAGGGCCTGCAACCACATCTACAGCCTGGGCCCAAGAGCACCAGTTGCCCCACAGGCTTTTTCTGACTCCTCTGTTCTTGTTAACCCAGAGTGCAGCTGTGTGGTCACCTCTTTCCATAAAACTAAACCCACAATCTCCCAGGCTTCAACCAGAAGAGTGAGATGGCAATGCACAGACCAAAAGAAACTGGACTTTGAAACATTAGGTGCGTTTTAATGTCATTTTTGCTTGGATTATTTAGCTTTCCTTGTTATTGAGTAGTCTTTTTGCAAATGCCACTGCTGCAGCTACTGGAAGGGATATGAAAGTCACACTGCAGCCAGAGTGGTATAGAACAGCAGCACTTCCAGGAGGCTACAGGTCAGAGGCCTCAGCAACTGAAACAAGAGGACAGATTCCTGAAGGCCCCACTTCCCAAGCTAACCCTTGAAGATTTGAGGTCCTTGGTCATGGGGTGATGGCATTTTTGTGTTCTAACTTCAAGCAGGGCAATGATGCAATCTGAACCATAGTGTCCAATGTCAGAAAGGGATTTAAAAACAAAAACCAACCACCTCCACTCCAAAAGCAGATGTCCAGATGGCTGTTTCTCATGCACTCAGTATCCTCTTCAGTATGTCAACTTCTGCAGTCTTGGGGGTGGGGTGGGCTCATCCAAATAACCCCCACCCCAGCTCCATTTGGTGCATGTTCAGTGAATATAAACTTATTTTCACTCCTGTCAAACCCAAGCCAAACATAATCACAGCTACTTCCGCTACTACTCACCCCCTTAAAGGCACTCAAAAGTCAAATATTAAGGATTAATGCTCTCCAACTGTTAAAATGATTTAACCTCTGCCTCAAAAGTTTGTCATAGCAAGAAGGGAGGCTGTAAGGGAACATGAGGGGTTTCTTAGCCTGGACATATGCACATTGGCTGCTGCACTCGCCATATTAGGCCAGACGTTTATACTGATGACACCATCATTGCCAGCCCCCCACATCCTTCCCCCAGCCACTTCTCAGCCATCCAAGAATTGCATCCTTTAGAATATCAGAACGATGTCCTCTGAGGAGGCATTTGGAAAAGCAACCAAGTCTGGTAAGCGAGGAGGCTGAACCAAGCTGGATTATATGATCTGGGGAAAAGCACAAGTTATAACTATATATAAGGTATGAGGTCAGTCTTCTGGTATTGTATATCATTTTGTCCTGGAAGCCATTCCTAAAGAGAAATGGCAGAATGTCTTCAGCAAAGCCCTCATCATCAGAAAACATGTACTTCCCAAGGCCAACATAAATCCTGGTGGGTCTTATCTTTGGTTTTGAAGCTCTTTGGTTACTCTTAGTTGCTAGAGCTATCTGCTACTCGTCCTTCTGGTCACTACATTTAATAGGTTTGGCTATTTCTTAGCAAATGTAAAAGACTTTCTGATTTTACATAGAATGGTTATTATACTTTTTTCCTGACCTGCTCAAAAATAACAGGGGTGCTGTGAAAAGCCAAAGGCCACCCACCAGTTGCCCAGTGGGTTTGGTGTAAGTCAGTTGTGAGAGGCAGGAAGCCATCATAAACAGTTCTGAGTAGGGGTGGATTTGCTTTTCTGGTCCCTTTTCCACAGGTTCCAAGTCAGCGGGTGGCCTTGGGACCATTGCTCCCACCCCCACCTCACTTTTAATATGAAGCAATTAAGCATTTCTATAGCCTAAGAGGGTTGAAGACAAATGGATAAAGGAGAAGTTTCATCTCCTCTCCCACTGGTGTGGAGGATCACCTGCCCCTCAGAGGGCTCATTTGGAGCAAACTGTAAAGGGGAAGTGGAAAATGGAAGTGGGAGGACACCTCAGGATGACCCTCTGGCACATATTTTAACTCACGTGGGCTAGAGATCACTGCCCCGCAGCTCGGCCTCTGCTCCAGTCCTGGTGTTCCCAAAGGGAGCTCTAAAAATGGCCCGCCTTTATTGGGTGAACTGTTGGGCCATAGGAACTGTAGTTAGAGGCTGGTCCAACCCTCTCCTAGGAAACCAAAGCCTAGAGGTTACCTGTCAAGGTCTCAAACTAGTCAGTAGCAGGGCCAGGATGAGTGTTCCTTTCACGCGTCACCATCACTTACAGAGAAAGTCCTGGCCAGCTGCCAAAAGTGAGTGAAGGGAGAAAATGGGTTTAGATGCAGCCTGTGAGCGGATCAGCGAAGGGGACTCCGTGACTCAAGACTGCCTTGCAAGGGGCAGCAGCAAACCTCCCAGGAAAACCTCTGAGGGAGGAGAAAGGAAGGAGTACAGATAAATTTATTAGTTAAATACTGATTTTACAGCCATTTCACCTTAAGACAATGTTAACAGGTTTGTGGGTTAGGGAAGGTATATGAGGGTGGCCTTCATGAAAGAAAGCAATGTAAATGATGATTAAAACAGAATCTTGGTTTAGAGATATTCTCTGCTACAGCCTGTAGGATTTGAGGGTGGGGGGCTGGGTGTTTTGGGGTAGGACACAGTAAGGCCCCAGGAGGACAGGAAGGAGTCTTTGTGAGCCCCAGTGTCACAGGCAGGAACAGCAATGTGGGGAGAAGGCCAAATCCAACCAGCCCAGAGCTGGCAAACCCTCCAGGCCACCTCAGTGTCTTCTCTTATCAGTCGTTGTCTTTCTTTCCATGAGTTTTTGTGGGTTTGTTTGCTTTGCATTTGTGTTGCAAAATCCCTAGCTTTTTGTCTCATGGATAAGATTTTTGCTGGAGAGGACGTGGGTGCAGGAGCTCTGGATGGACTCCACCAGCTGTCTGACCAAGAGGCACATCTCCGCAGAGCAAGAGTGATGTCAGCAAGAGTCGAGTGCAAGCGAGTCAGTATCCACAGAAGACCCCGCCCCCCAACAGTGCCTGCCCCAGCCCCAGACAGTGTCCACCGGATAGCCTCTCCAGAAGGATCTCAAGTCTTAGATGAGTGCTAGTCAAACTTGCTTTAGCAGCAGAACCTCTTTTGTTCTTAGTCAGAACCCCCTGTGCATGATGGGGTGGAGGAAGGATTTGGTGGGCAAGGGCCGGCTTGAGGGGAGCTGCTGTTTGGCTGATCTGTAGAGCTCTTGTTTTGCTGAGGAAGCGACATTTTCAAGCTGAAGGCAGAGCTGAATCTAAATCACTCAGAGCAGTGGAAGGGATTTTTATTTTCAGCGGCCTTGGGGTGAAGAGAAGAAGCGAAGGGATGAGGCCGTGAACCGGGAAAGGAACGTGGGGGAGGCGAAGTTGCCAAGGTGCAATTTTGCAGAAGCCCGTACTGTGTGGTGAATAAAGCAGCCTCTCCTCCATCTCCATCTCTCCACGGAGCACCCAGTAACACTGGTGCTACACCCAGCATTTCTGGAGTCAAGATTCAGTATGGAGGAATGCAGGGGGTGTGTTGAGCTGGAAAGGGAGTGTTGGGCAAGGGCAGGAGCTGCCCAAAGGGGCCTGTCACATCCAAATGCATGTCAAACAGATGCCCTGGCTCAGGCTGGAGCAGGGGTCCCAGTGCCCTGCCCCTGCATCCGCCCTCAGATCCCTGGTGCTGGGAACACCATGGAAAAACCACCACCTTAGGCCACAGTGGTGGAAAGGTAGGGGAGAAGGACATCTCATCTCTTGTCAGGGGTGGAGTGGGGCAGAAAACAAGAAAGAAGTCTCTAACTCCACAGAAGGGACTGAAGTGAGCTCCTAGTGAAGGGTGGGTGCTTCCAGATCAGTCTGGGCTCTTTCCAGCACCCCACCTTGAAAAGCCCTCTGATTAAAATCCAACACCCACTTCCCCTAACCAAATTGTCGACTTCAAGTTTCTTCCCAGTTGTTCTGGAGTTATTTCCAGACAGAGGAGGCCAGCCGCTGGGAGCTCAGGGCCTCATCTCTGCTGTGCTCCAAGTCGTAAGTCCACGCAGGAATCTGAGGAGGGAGGGAGGTGACATTATGCAGTGATTATGTCCCCGTGACTGTCAGCCAAGGCCAGGCTGTTCCAAGGGTCCTGCTTGGAGCTGGCTTGTGGTGACTGGCTGACAGAGGACGCGTAGCCTTGTGGGGACAGCTTCAGGGCTGAGAGGACCGGGTGGATGGAGGGCCCATGGCCAGACATTGCACTGACTGAGAACGTCTGAAAGCAAAAAGTGCAAGACAAGGTCAGTGGAATCACTCCTGAGGGCTCAGGAGTGGAGGTCCGGGCTGGAGAGATGTCCCCAGGCTGGCTCCCACCCCTAGGAGAGGGATTACAGGAGAAAGCCAAAGGACAAGGGCAGGACAAGGGGCCCAGCAGCCCTTGTGCTATGGGATGCGAAGGGTGTGCGTGATTCATCAGCTGCTGCGAACACGATGCCTGGTAGGTTTGAAAATATTCTAGTTCCTCGGAAAGCTCTGATAGCTCTGTGAAACATTTTCTATCATCTCATCACCATCAGATCTCCACTTCCAAACAGTAGCCATCCTTCCCACTCAGAAGGGGCACCTGACGCTCTCAGCTCTATAGGACCAGCCTCTCTTCACTCTGACAGTAGGAGGCTGGTTAGCACATGGCCTCCTGTAGTACAGCGTATGGATGGGGAAGACATCAGAGTTAGTGGGAGGCTATGACATGACCAGGCCTGGGAGCATCATGATCTCAAATGAGGGAAAGCTCAGAGTGTAGGGGTGAGGAGCAGGGATGCCATCACATCCGAAAGAGGAGAAGGAGGGGACTGCTGGCTCAGCCTCTGGACACTCGGGTGGAGCTGGACCTGCAGCTGACCTGCATTAACATGGCACCACCCCCAAGCCATCCACCCTACCCTCTGCGTTTCCAACACCTTTGCCCACGTCAGGATGGCCCTCCTCCTCTTCCTGCTGTTAAAATCTACCCGTCTTTCAAGGCCAAGGTCAAACCACCCCTCATTTAGGAGGCAGACTTGCCTAGAAAACCTCTTGCTCTGCCTCCTGCAGCCTGCTACACTTGTACCCACCGCCGGCCCCAATAGACACAATTGGATTCAGGTTGTAGGTGTGTGTCCTGCTGTATGCCAGCCCCAGACTCCTTTCTCCTTGTCCCCGAAGGTCCTGACACAGAGGAGCTGCCAAACATTTGTGTCCACATCACTGTAGCTTAATCAGATGTGCTGAAATAAACCCTTGAGCAACAGCCTCTAGCCTTGGGTGGGGGGCCCCCTGGGACAGCAGGCAGCTCTCTTGGCCACATGCTCCACATCCAAGCTCCCGTGCTGGCCTGGTGCCCTGGTATGCTGCAACCTACTTCCCCATGGGCAGTCCTGCCCCCTCGCCCAGGGGCATACCTGGGACATGGAGCTGCCGTGCCCATAGTGGGACACCAGCCCGGGCTCTGTCTTGATGGGGCGCATCTCTTCACCACTGCTACTGGCCACAGTGCTGGAGTTGCTGGAAGCGCCACTGGTGGGAGGAAGGCTCTCACTGCCCGCAGGACCTGGAACAAGGCAGAGTCAGGTCACCCAGACCAGGGGCAGCAACAGGCAGAGGGCGGTCCTTTCGGACACCCGGGTAGGTCTGTGCTAGTGGCTTATTTACATGTGCTGGGGAGAGAAGCAGGCTCTCTCATCGGTGTAGGCCAACCGTTCCCAAAATGAGCTTTTCAAGGGAACTTTTTCAAATGACGAGCTCACCACCCTTTATCCCAAACCCTTGAGGGCACATGCGTTTCAGGATTCAAACTTTTTGGATTTCAAAAAAGGGAAATACTGTACATTATAAAACAACACCTCCAGTGAGGTCTGGGACATATTTTAAGTACATTAATAGTTTGAGTATTTTGTTCTTTAGATTCCACATATAAACGAAATCATATGGTATTTGTCTTTTTCTGTCTGACTTATTTCAATTATTATAATACCCTCTAAGTCCACCCATGTTGTTGCAGATGCCAAGATTACATTCTTTTTTATGGCCGAGTAATATTCCATTGTATATATGTACCACTTCTTCTTTATCCAATTATCTACTGATGGGCACTTAAGTTGCTTCCATATCTTGGCTATTGTAAATAGCGCTGCAAGAACAGGAGTGTATATATCCTTTCAAATTAGTGTTTTTGTGGATAGTAGACTTATCAGGGGGGGTCACTCTATAAATTATATAAATCTCTAAGCACTATGCTGTACACTTGAAACAAATATAAAATAATATTGAATGTCAACTGTAAATGAAAAATAAATCCACACACACACACACACACACACACACACACACATACATAAATAGTCCTATAGCAAAACACGTGAACATTTATTTACACGTGGGGTAAATACAGACTATAAATAGCCTGTGTCTGTTCAGACTAGGTACTGCTGCCAAATCTAGCTCCCCAGATTTTGAATTTCGGAAGAGGGATTGTCCACCTGACCCAAAGGCCTGCTCTCCCTGTGACTGTGACAAGGAAGGAGATGAGGTGACCCAGCGGGATGGGCGTACTTATAAACCGTGTGGAAGCAGCAGAAAGGCGGAGGACCACTGGTGTAAAACACTAATGAAACATGACTGCCAGAGGGGGTAAGCCATGGTTGAATCTGGAAAAGGGCAACTTTGGTCCTGTTCTCGACAGTGGGAAAGGAAAATGTATCTGACTCTGTCACGCCTTAGATTAGAAGATAAACTTTCCATTGGATTAGCCGGTTTACTTTCTTTGCGACTGCAGCATTTCGCAGTGAAATCTTTAATTTGGGAGCAGTGCTGAGCAGGAAGTGCTCTTGAGAGGGGAATACGTAGTCCTCAGTCTTAATCTAGAAATGGAGAAGGCAGAGTGGTATATTAAACAGCATGTGGACCCTGAAGGGTAAAAACTTAGCTTTTCATTCTGGATCTACCCATGCACAGCTGCATGCCTCGGGTTAAGTCACTGCCCTCTCTGAACCTCAGTTTGCTTATTAGTAAAATGGGGATAATTAACGGGTCTTATGGGGGTCTTTAAGGATCAATGAGAGAATATTTGTGAAGGAGCTTTCTAAAGTACGAAGTACTCC